TTTTTTTTGACTTCCTTAGAAAACAACTGATTACAGAATACTATGCATATGACTGATTTTCTTACCACGTATCCGTTTTGTTGTCCTTGACCGAGTTGAATGGTAACAGCAGATTATACGCGTCTTTGGCGATCTGACGGGTTGATGAATCTTTAAGGTGGCATGACCGAGTGAAGGAGGAATTGCTTTCAGTTTTGAAACCAACACCTAAGAGCTTTGCCTCGCGGTTATTCTGTGGGAGAAAAGATCAAGAAAGCCTATAAACAAGATTCACGCAAAATAGCAGTTATGTATAGTTTAAAGGAGCTAGATGTAGGTCCGGTTTGCGCATCTTGGAAAGTTTAACCTAAGTGTTTCAAGTTTGACGTTTGTAATCCGCGTCAATCTTCTCCATCCTTAGCCATTCTTGTTCCTTTATGGTTTATTACTACCTCTTTGGTGTTTTTCTATCTTAGTACACTATTTTTTTCAGGTTTCCTTCAATTTAAAGGTAATTTTGTACGTGGTCAAAATAACTGACTCAAAATACCGTGACTGAGTTCCTTTAAAGTAAATTGTGCTGGTCTATATAAACAAGACTTTCTGATGTCAGATTACCAATTCGGATTCCCTTGTGAGCCGTTCATGAAGCTCGCTTGCCAGTTGATCAAGCCAGTGCTTGACCTGCGAAGAAAGTTAACATCATGTTATATAAAAGTAATTCATTTACTGGAACATTTTAAATAACAACCCTTCTCTCCTTTGAAAACAACCACCTCAAACACACCCCACCCCCACTGAATATAATCCCATAGGCTTATATCTTTATAGAGAAAAATACATTGTATAACTCGTTCCGGGCACAATTCCACACCGAATTGTTGTGCTTACTTGGTATTTTATGCCGTTAGAGAGGCTTCATCCCTTCAAAATACCAGGCCAGACATTTTTTAACGTAAAATTCTTTCACTGCTTTGCAGTCATTTTTTAAGAGAAAAGAAAAATTTAGCAAAAATGGACTGCTCTATAAAATTATAATATTTAGAGTGAAAGCCACATCAGCCCTAGCTGGTTTTCATGCAGATCCTCTATCCTGGTCGAATTGGAATTTGGAGATGTTGGTTTCAGAGTAGACTGAGAAAAACACTCAGAGCAAGACAAGAACCAAGGACAAACTCAACCAACAAAATTACGGCACAAGGCCAGAATCTAACTCGGGCCACAACTCTATAGGTAACTTCCTTCAACAGAATACACAAACCTGTTCCCCTGTCGCCAGCTTGCTTTTCCCAGGAAAGTTCTTGCCACAGCCAGTGGATTTTGCCAGCTGACGTGGCCTGACAGGTTCATGGTCCACACCGTGACTTATTTGGAATAGCCACTCCCTATCGACCAAATAATGTCAATTTAAAGGGTTGTTGTCATACATTCTTTATTACTTTCACTCCCAAGAATGTGGTGTAGTGCAAAGTTGGTTCTAGTCAATAGCTTTCTTTTGTCATGAATGGTTGCACACTAGGGTTTCATCCCCAGACATACAACCTAGGACCTATTTTGCCCAGCATAATAAACAGCACCATAAGGAAGTACTGCTCAATGGACTTTATTTGGATGGTCACGCACTAGGGTTTCATCTACAGATTTAAAAGTTAGAACCACCTTGTACAGCATAATAAACAGCACCATAAGGAAGTACTGCTCAATAGACTTTATTTGGATGGTCACGCACTAGGGTTTCATCCACAGACTTAAAAGTTAAACCCACCTTGTACAGCATAATAAACAGCACCACATGGAAGTACTGCTCAATAGACTTTATTTGGATGGTCACTCACTAGGGTTTCATCCATAGATTTAAAATTTAGAACCACCTTGTACAGCATAATAAACAGTACCACATGATAGTACTGCTCTGTGATAGTTCTAATCTAAATGGTCACTTACATGTACACTGTACCAGGGTTTTCTACAAACTTTCAAGTTAATTAAAACTCAATCTCACACATTCAATTCTGTTTTTTTTTTTCCCTTGATTTCCTAACTTATACTAATAATCCGAAATGAAAACCTTACCCAGTTTTGTCTCCAAAACGGCCCTGTAACTCACTCATGGAATATTTTGCCAAGTCACTCATCCTCTCTGCTTTTAAGTTTGAGCGTACTTCATGACCAAGTTTGCCTCCCATGTTACGGCTGAAAGAGATGGGTACCATAATTAATCAAGCGGTCTGTACAATTAGGGCCTGGAAATCACAAAGAATTTAAAAATTTTGCTATGATAACTTAACAATATGAATATTTTGATGTAATTTTCTTACACTTTTTGTATGGGTACAGTCTCAAATAATTCTGGTACTTCACACTGAGGTAGTAGGGTCTGCTTGTTTGGTTTATGACGTCCACCACACAACTTAGCCAGCATCTGATTGCGAAAGAAATATGCATGTATGTGAAGAAATGTGCCAAGCCAGATCATCTACACACATGAGCAGCACATACTGTATGTACATGAAATATCTCAATTTGGTGCACGTATTTTACAGAACTGATGCTGTGTCTCTCTTGTCCATAACAGTACTGATGAGATTCATAGCTTTGGGACATCCAACACCTAAGCTTTTCATTGCTGGCACCTTTCATATTTGCATCCAAAGAGTCCAAATTTTGTTGACTTGGCTTTTTCAGAAAATATTCTGACAGGCCCTGTGCCAGAGGTTGCTTCCACTGGGGCTGGAAAAAGAAGGGGGGTGGGGGGGAGGGGGAGACGCTGATGAAAAAATTATGGAATATCCCATTACTGTACAATTTCTTCCTGTGATCACACTTACCTTTGTACTTGCCCCTAAACCCACCCCAAACAGTATCTGAACATTCCTGATCATTTTCAATTGCTAGTTTTAATGTTCTACTGGTTAAATGCCTCCTTATTATTGACTTAAACAAACAGAACATTAGACAGCTACTGATAAAAAAATAGCGAATTAAAAATGTCAGCTCCCCAGCTCAAGAATCATTTCATTGATGTTGACTACCTTAGGCCTATCTCAAGGTGGGGGCAGAGGAGCTTGATTTTCAGGGGACAGAAAATAATTCTCAAACTCAGATAGGTGTTTAGAAATGTGGTCAAACACAGTCTTTCGTGTTTGATATATATTACTTGATTTGACAAGAGTCTCACTTTGTTATGGGCAACCCCTGCAGAGCAGGTGAACTGAGTCTCTTTCAGCACTGCTTCCCTCATTTCTGATACCATAATTGCACCCACTGCCAGCCTTCTAATGTTCTCATCATCTTCCAGAGAAGCCCTCCAAGCAGTTGTATCGACACGTTTATCATCACCATCATTAATCATGAAGCCCTCAAGAAAAGTTGACGCTGCAGACATCTCTGCAATTTCATCTATGTCCATTGTACTCATTCGTCTGTAACGAGAAATAAATACCAATTGTATGTTGATTTTCATGTTTTATTAGAAACTGTATCATTGGATAATGCATTTCAAGAATTTTCATTGGCTTAGCCATCATGGTGTGTGAGCAATTATACCATGCTCTACAAATAGGGCAAGCTGAGCATTAATAATTTTTGGGGGTGTTTATACTTTTATTTCATTTTATTTTCTATGCAACTTTTGGGGACAATATTAATAAAACAATTATTCCACTTGCACTTGTTGGATAAGACATGGTGATAGTCAACTCAGCGCTACAAGCCTCGTTAGCTATCTAACATGTTATATCCAATGCACGCCTACATGTATGGTACTAGACAAGTATAAAATTCATTCTGGTATATTTTTAAATTAGCTCATCAGTCTCAAATACATTGTTCTTACATTTTCACATTTTCTGTCAAATCAAGATATGCTTCATCGACACTTGCCCTCTCGCAACTCTCACAGAAACGAGACAGCACGGCAATCACCTCAGCCCCTGCCTCACGATAAAGGGTCAGATTAGCCTTCCCACGAGCTTCTGGGACTCGCACCAAATTGATCTCCGGGCACTTCTCCTTAGCCTCATCTCCACGCATATTTCTGTTCACACCAAAGCGACGTGCCTCGTAGCTCACAGCTATAATACTAACAAATAAACAATTTGATTAATTAGTGAATCTACACTCTTTGGCGCCCTCCAACATTTATGAGCTGTATTTCCTGTCAAGGCTGGATAGAAATTACAAGGTAGAAAACTAGTAGGTATCGACAATATGAAGAATAACTTGAATAAATCAAGTGAAAACAAGAGAGAAAATCTATAGCGCTTCCTGCGTGAATACAACCAGTGACATCACAAGGTCCTTAAACTCGGTTCCAGAGCCCAGACACAGTTTTGCTCCAAAAAGTCGATTTCCGCAGCTAAAACAGCACTTTATGTTAGGATTTTACAGAAATAAAGTTCACCATTACTTGAAGCACGTATGAAACTACAGATTGGGCTAATAAAAGAGAGTACGAAAATTTTGTTTCAGTAGCACTTTAACAACATAAACATAAAGACATAAGAACGATGTTATGCTGTTGTACTTTCAGTATAAATATCCAACTGACATAATTACATAATAGCAACATAACAGCATGAACATAGCGACTTAAGGGGTAAAAAACTGATCTTATCCTTATGCTTTTATGTCGATGTTCACATTGCGACCTAAACTATTATGTTGTTATGCTGTCATGTCATTGTGTCATCATGTTGTTTATGTCGTTATGTCGTTAGTGTAAACCAGGTCTAATAGTGCTAATAAAATAATTGCCAATCAAATGAAGGAGTGCATCAGTACACTATGAAATAAAACTAACCAGAGCTAGTAACTAGCAAACCAACTACTACGAGTTTTCATATTGTATGTTGTCTACATACAATGCTTTGAATTTTGGCATTTTGGCAGCCACTAAATACCTTCTCCTAGTTCATTAACAGTTATGTCTGACTGCGTAAGCCATGTTGCTGTGTTAATAAGCTGTGTAGCCAAACTGTCCGATAAGTCATATAGCCACACTTAGTCAATACTTCCATTCTGGAGGAAATTTATGGTCTCCATTGCACTGATTTTATCTTCAACTGCGTAAACAACGCAAGTGGCTACTCTTATACAGCTGTAGAATGCAGA